GGGCGAATCCTGTCGGGAAGAGGCAAGTTACCATCACCATCAAAACTTTTTTGTACTTTTTTCCCATCGTTGTCTTACCTGCAAAATCCAGTGAACTGAAAATATGGAAGCGTGACACTCACAAAGTGTTTCCTTTTGCAGCAGCTAAATGAAGAGGTGTGTTCATCTTGTCATCGAGAACGTTGATCTTTGCGCCATTTAACAACAAAAACTCAACGGCAGCCGTCTGGCCCTAAAAAGGTCTGACCGTATCCATGCTAAAGATTAAATTAGCTCAAAGATCGCATCAAACAGACTAATCCTTGGGATTACTTAACCAGATACACTCACATTCTTCGTGGCAATGTGTAATGCTGTAGTACCATTGCGAGAAGAATTGATATCGGCACCACCAGCAATGGATCGAAGTAAGCCGAGTACATCACCACAACGGGCGGCCTCGCTTATGATATCCCAGTCACTAGATTCCACTGAAACCAAAAACATTAAAACCTGGCGGAATGGCCAACTTTCAAAATAACACTATAAAAAATGGACGGCGAACTTTGGCGACGAGGGGGCATTTTGCACTTTCTGCTTCACTAGTACCGATTAGTGGACCTTGCGACGGCGCGGGACTAAAAAAACTAACTAAACTAAAACTAACTAGACTAAAAAAGTAGTCTTTACAAACGTTGGCTGGCATCCTTTAATGGCTCTGCAGGATTTCAGAGATTCCCACTTGATGGCCCGGCATGACGATGGGATAGGGCAAGAATGCAAAATGCCCCCTCGTGCGGCAAAAAAAAACAACAATACAAATGAAATAGAATGAGGCAATCGTATAACAAACCAGTGAAGTCGCATTTGGATAGGCTGGGGTCCGAACCACAAGACGACAATCTTTTCAAACGAATACCTAGATTGGCAAAGATCAGGATGAGAGAGAGAAATTTCCAAAGGCACAATAAAACCGGAACAGCAAGCTCAAGGACTATTTCAATACAATACTTAGGGTAAGGGGCCGAAAACTGTGTCGTGACAAGGGACCCGCACCATGCCGCTCAATACCACCCCATGCAGGTGTCGAATCTTGGACTGGTTTCCGTTCGGGACGACGTGGTGTCATTGCGAGCGGGGGGCGTTGAGTGCGGTGGGCTTAGGGCTTTAGCGGGAGGGGTACAAATGTTTCAATGGGCGCCCGTAATTATGAGTTGCCTTATTAAATACCCACTGTGAGTCCAAATGCGATCGTGGGGCCGCTTCCGCAAAAGGCGGGCAGACAGAGGTACGTGTGCTCATGTATGTAAGGTTGGGAAAAAATTTCGACGCCCCCTGATAGTTGCTGTATCGCTTCTCTAGTACGACCTTTCACCCCGCCCTCCACCTTTTCCCCACCTACCTGCCATATCCCTAAATTTCCCCAACTATGTACCACTTTTTTTCGAGTTTTTTTTTCAAAAGCTCCTCCTCTGCCCCTCAGAAACCTGACGCCCAGCGACATGGAGCAGGGGGGAGAAGGCGATAGAGCACATGTGAAACAGGAAATTCAGAGTAAATTCAACAACTGAAGACATTTTTTGGAGGGAAATATCCTTCCCTCCCCCCCCCCCCGTTGGGGATCCCAACGCGTGACATGCCCGTTCACAGGGGTCGGAGGCTATATCCTCTATACAAATCGAGCTTGTACCACTTACCATTAGCCTGTACTTTGACTTCACCATCACAGAGACTATCAGCATCCTTCATATTAACATAGGAAGCAGACCGTTGGACTGAAACCACTGCAATATCTGAGACAAACAACAGAAATATTAAGTCAAAAATCCAAGTGCACAAAAAATACCTCTACTCCCAGGGACATTGCATATACTTATGCGATGCCTGGAAAGAAGTTGTTCCTTTCGGACCATAGCATTGCTTCGTGCTCGATCGCTCGAAGGGACAGCGAACCGCCGCTCTACGTACTTCGCCTTGATCCACGCCTCACGTATCTGATGAAAGGTGGAAATTCAAATGTGAATTTTCGGTCGATTAATGGGCCAGAAGCAGCAGGACCTCGCTTTGCTGGTATAAAACGAGCAGGTCCGTAAACTCGTACATTGAGGCTGCCAAACGTCCTTACGGTGTTCTCCATGTTTTTCTTGCCTTTTTCTCTTCTCTGGAGAGTTACGTAGCGACTATGGGCTTGTAATTGAACGCCATGTCGCCAACGCCGAACACCTATCCATAATATACAAACGCGGGGTTTGTCATTAAATATGGCGGATGACCCCGCTCTCCCTTGGGATATTGCCGCATACGATACCGTTTTCAGTTTTGGGGCATCCATTTACTAGTTGCATACTAAAGAGGGCGTTGCCAATGAGGAGCCAAGATATGAGCTGTTACACATACCGGAGGGATGACCTTACATCTTACACAGTTATTCGCAGAAGAATAAATAGAAATACACAGAACATCTGTAGTACAGCACATGCTCGATTGTTCAAAAACAATAATTAGGCCTCTATCTAATTTATTGGTCGCTTTTTCTGCCAGTAGCAATCATAACCCACGGTGTATTGCGCGTGGGTGAACCAGGGGGGAGGGGCGGGTTGGCGACGATCGCCGTACATACTTATTCTTGTTAAAGACCAGGCTAAAGACCATTGTAAACATTTCAAACATCTAGTTGCGAAGTACAGGTGCCGGTTGTAGAGTAGTGGAAGGAGAACACGGCACGCCAGTGCGAGTTGGGAGAAGCGGGGTTCAAGTTCTATGAACCGTGTGCGGTAGTTGACCTTTCAGTGACCAAGTAGGGTTGCGCACACTGTCACATTTGACCCCCTTTTTTCAGCCCCATTCAGCCGCTGTCATTCCCTGCCACCCACCGATAACGTCGTCCCCGTCACATCCCCTATATAATCTGTTGGAACCAACTTCCCACCGCTACTGGGACAGGTACTATCAATGTGTTGGCCTCCTCCTTATGACTCCTCTTATCAGATCTTATCAAGTGCTAGCGCTCCCGTCCCCCTGCTATAATGTTCCCGTCACAGCTCTCATTCCCACAGCTACTGGGCGAGCGCTATAAATTTTGTGACAGAAGACAGACAAAACACAGACAGACAGACAGACACACACACACACCCAAACATACTGAGCGGTTTTAATATGTAAGATAACAATAGACAAAGCAGTTAAAAACGCCTGAGCCAAGGCCCTCTATCCTTCATCTCATTTTGTGAACTAGACGAGAAAACGCGGAAACGCGAAACATAAGGGAACGCGCTGGAGCGAGAAAGGGAAGAGAGACAAAGGATGAGAGAGCATCAGTACAATCGAGACAACAGACGTCAACACAAAAGACATAATGTGGGTTCAGGTGAGATTTGTCGGTTTGTAAACCCCCATAAAAAAGAAATCTCAAAGTTTTCATACCTGCCGACTTGAGTTATCCATAGCAGGTGGAGGAACAACGTCCTCGTCAGGTAGATAGGCTAGGTATATGGCATTTACCTGGAAAGAACAGTCGGTTCTACGGTAGCCCAGTCTGCACTAGTGAAGGCGAACCTGAGAGTTTCCAAGACTGAGAAGGACGTCCCTCAACTCTGGATCAATCGAATCCATCGTTAATGACCGGACTTTTGAGGTTTGGACGCCAAGGCTCCGATGAACTCCGGAACATTCAATACATAACACCACCTGAACAATCACTCAAAACTGAAGTCTTAGACAGAAACCAGTAACAGTAGGAAAATCGCTCTATCGAGAGAATAGAAATGAACACTCAGACTCACTCCGAGGTTGATGCTGACCCATTTGGGTTGCTCTGACCCACAATCAGCACATCTTTCGTTGCCTGGTACTCGACGAATTTGCTCGAACGTCGTAGTAGCATCCGATACTGTTAGAGCAGGGACACTTCCAGATTGAGAAACTCCGCCAGAGGGTGTAGTAACACTGCGATTGTCCGATGACTTGCTGGACGAACTGGGACGAGCGGCCTCAAAGAACATGGAGTAGTAATTAGGCAAACTGCACATAAACTCCATTTAATTGAGTAGTAAGGTATTACATCATCACTTTCGTGAAGGGCTAAAATGGTTCGTTGCAGGGCACGCATCCAATCATTGCACAAAGCCTCAGAGTCGGCTTGCAGAAGATGACTTCTGAATTAGC